TTAATTTCATTAATGATTTTAGTATATCACTATTAACACTGATTTTCTTTATTTCATTTGACATATAATAATTTGTTATATTAAATCATGATAATTTACCTATACCGTATCTTGTCATACTGAAATTTCGGTATACCGAAACAAGGTATACCGAAATTTCGGTATGGTAACGGTATGTATTTTTGCATACCGAAAGATTACGGTATGGTAAAAGTATGCGATAAAATATTCGGTATACCGTACCGAACCACCCCTAGAGGGAGTAATAATTGAGTTCAAGAGAGGAAAAGTAGCACTGAAACACATACTATACATGCAAAATGCCACTAATTTAGGAATCATGGCCTCATTTAGTCCTACTCTTAATATCTCTCTCAAAATATTTTGGGTCATTTTTCTTAAAAAATAACTTTTCAATAGAAAATATTAAAACTACTAGTCTTTACTTGATTTAACATAAATTAGAAGAGCACTACTAGAAAAGAAATTAGCAAAACTATCCTTTAGTTTTTTGTGACATTTTATATAATTCGACACATAGTAAATAAAAGTGTTAAGTTGTTTTGGAGACAAAAAAAATATCATACCACGTTACCCAAAATAAAAAGCCGCATATGTCTCCACATTAATGTTGGTAGTTCCTGCGTTCTACCGCCTGGGCTTGTCCGAAACCCAAATATTGCTACAGCCGCATCACCCCACATTGCGACAATTAGCGTCACGATCATAGGAATATCAAGACATTTACCGGCGACCTATCCCAAAACAAGAGGAAGTGAATAATTTAAGAAATAATTACACTAAATTAAATATTCTTAACAAAAATGTGACTAGTAACTAGAGTAGTAATAAAATCATAATAACTTATGTTCAGTTTTTAAGCTTAAGTTACTATGACACTACATTGTAGTAACTATTAATCATATTTGTGTAAATAAGTTTTATTGTAATAATATTTATTAAAAATACCCACAATTTAATTGCCATTATTTAAGATGACTGCAATTATTAAATTGATCAAACGAAGACACCCAAAAAGTGAATCTAAGTCACCCGAATGGGGTATTAAATAATTGAAGGAAAACTGTCAAATAGAACCTCGAACTTTCATAAAAAGGTCAAATAAGTCCTTTTATAGGTGGCTCTGTCCGGCCGTCGCGATTTGGGGCGTTTCCCGGTGGAATTTTTTTATGAAAATTTTTGAGCATCTTATTCAGCAAGTCTAGTTAACTCATACCAAATTTCAGCTAAAACTTTAATCGGGAACACGTTCAAATTAATTCTTGAAGATAACTGCGCATTTAACTGCACAGTTATCTTCAAGAATTAATTTGAATGCATTCCGGATTGAATTGTTAGCTGAAATTTGGTATGAGTAAACTAGACTTGATGAATAAGATGCTCAAAAAATTTCATCAAAAAGTTCCATCGGGAACCGCCCCAAATCGCGACGGCCGGACAGAGCCTCCTATATAAGTACTTATTTGACATTTTTATGAAAGTTCGAGGACATATTTGACAGTTTTCCCAATAATTGGCTATCTATCTATATTACATAATACGGAAAAAAAAATAGCGGAGTATTTATTATATGTTGCTAACTGGCTACCGGAGTATTAAATAGCGGACCGCATCACATATTGCGGTCGCGTGCGGCTGTGCAACCGCAATGACCGCTATACCGATGTTTTTTTAATTGAAGACGAAATCTACAACGAAATCACAATGGAACCACATCCGGTCGCAATCTGTCGCAACAACACCGCAACACCGTCGTCCAAAATTGTAAATATTTCACGCCAGAACGGCTGCAATACGCATGGCAGTGATCGTTTTAACCTCTACGCAATTACCACAACCGCTATATATATACATGACCTATTTTTATTGCTATATACATAGACTGTAGTATTATACTATTACGTAGTATTTTGCACATCATCAATTCCTATTTTTCAGTTTAGGTTTAAAAGTTAGTATCTTTATCCCAATTTGTTTTGCAAAGTCAACATTTTTTGTCAACCAGTACTAAAGTTAAATTCTCCTAATGGATAAATAATTCAATTTTAATATTTAAAATTGACCTATTTAGAAACTACATTAAAATCTTTATAAAGTTGCAAAATTCGAATTAAAATTGAGAAAGGGGCAAATACAGTACCCCTTAATCAGAAGACTTGCAGATACACCCCTTAATTCATTGAAAATTATGCAATCAGATCCTTTTTTACCTGCTGGTGCAGGTAAGAAGATGAGAAATTACCGGCACCAGCAGGTAAAAAGGGTCTGATTGCTCATTTTTCAAGGAGTCTAGGGGTGTATCTGCAAGTCTTCCGGTTCATGTGCCTGATTACAAAATCGTAAATAGTTCGTGAACTTATTTGCCTCTTTTCTCATTAAAATTTAATTAAGAATTGATATCCTAATTGAGTGATCAAAATGAAATCAGCTGACCCAAAAAGTCAAAATCTGCAAATCAATTGGGGATATATGGAGGGATTATAGAATTAAACATTACTACATATTTGCTTCTTGAGACATCTTGAACTAATCTTTTTTCTCTGTCAATTAATAAAATAAATCACAATTGGATATTTGCTATGCACGATATAATGCTTTTTGGCAAAAAATAACTAATTAATAACCATCATTTTGAATTTGATATTGAATTGATAAAATAAAAATTAAGAAGAATAATTTAGAATCACACAAATTTTATCAAATTCAAAATGAGACAATTTTAGCCGGACTGGTCAGAACGGAAAGATGGAATGACAAACAATAAACCAGATCAGTAGTTACCTCTTTCCTCTGAACCAGGAGTCCTGCGGCAAATGCGATCATTGCTGCTAGAACACCGAATAAAAGTATGACAATAGTAATAAATATGCTTTTATGTTGTGCCATTCGATCTTGTTGCAAATTTCCCAAACAAGAATAGAGTTGTGATCGAGGCCGGCTTCAATGGTGCTCTTTCTTCAGCTAATTAATGAGAGAAAAATGTGTCTTAATTTATAGTGCGTCCCTATACCCTCCCAATTCTCAAGTAGCGTTAGTTTGACACGTTCAAAGAAAATATAATCTCTACTTAAAGTTCATCATCAACTTTCTCTCCTAAATTACACATCTGTCCATAAAATCTTAACATTTTTTATAGTAGTATAATTTTACACTTTATGTAGACTATTATTTATCTATACTCTACCCAAATCATTAACTTGCTTTTACTTTTGTAAACGTATTAGTCGAATTTGACAAAATTTTACGGAGTGGCCAGGGGAAAGTAGAAAATAGTTTGTTCATTCGTTCTTCACTAAATAAATACTTCGTATAAACTCTTGCTTTAATTTGATCTGGGACAAAGACGAAAATTAAAAAACTTCAACTTCTATGGTTGAGATCAATTTTTGGAGGACCAAATAACATGAATAACATAATATGTTCTTTGAAAAAGAATGCCCAAAGCATTATCTTGAAAAATACGAAGTCGGGTTGGTGCAAAATGAATGTAGATGCAGCAAGGGATCAAAGAGGTGTGCAGCTGGTTCAGCTAGGTTCTTAGAAATGACACTGGGGATTTTGTTGGGGCAGTTGTTCTCGTCTTGAAGCGGAATTGCAAAGCATTAGGCAAGCTTTGAGCCTGGATTAAAGATCAAGGATGGGATTTTGTGGGGGTCGAATGGGACGCCTTGTTTGTCATATCAGAAATTAACAATGGTTCGGTCTTTCTCCACTTGGTAATATATTTTAGCTAAGGTTTTGCTAATATTTCTTTTACTTTTGTTAGACGATGAGTGCACGCTGTTGCTCATGAGTTGGTTAAAACAGCTGGTTCTATGTCTGATTAATACGTAGTACTAATTAAGTTGATTCCCTTATAAACAAACTTTACAATAATAGTAACATCACTTCAGGAAAAAATAGTGATAAAGCACAAAATTAATAGAGTATAGATTAGAATAACAAAGAAGTCTCTTAAAATATACTCCGTCCCATTTATATTGTCTCAGTTCCTATTTACTTGATCAACACAAATCACTCTTTTCTTACTTTATATATCAAAAATTTATCAAATTTGATTTAGGTTTTTGCGACTTTGTAAAGCTTTAAATGTAGACATGTAGTTTCTGAATATGTAATTTTTTTCCCTAAAAATAATTTGAGTGCGGACAGTGATCTGTTTGCTTTATCGTCGGTCAAACATCGTAAACCGTAAAGAGACAATATAAATGGGACGGAGGTAGTACTATACATGCATACTCCGTATATAAGTGTAGTGTGACGCACCGACGCTTATCACTTAATACAATGTAGAGTATTCATATACATATGTCCAAATGAGAACCTACATGCGGACAATGCTGTCGGATGGCCTTGCCAGTGGAATTTTTTTTATCATGTTCTTTATCAAGTCTAGTTTTTGTCCATCAAATTTTAGCTTAAAACTTTATTGGAAAAACAGTTAACTAAATTACTGAAACAATATGCGCTTTTTAATACTCAAACGAAGTATTAAATAGATTATATAGATCAATTTTCATTAAAAAAATTGGTTCAAATATAAATAATCTTAATCATGAAAAGTAGGAATAGATATATGGAAGATCAGGTTTAAGATCTAATGACTCTAGATATGTCAAAAATGCGTTAAAATGATCAAATGAAAAATGTGGTGGTTTTTTCTTAAATAAATTGAAGCTTCTCTTCTTTAATTTGCAAAAGGTAGACTTAATGCGTGCAATAGTGTATCGTAAATGATTGCAAGTGGATGATGGAAAATTTTTCAATGCAATAGTGAGAAATAGTGCAGGTCTCATGCTTAAAAGTGGAGACTTTCTCATTTTATATGGGAATATTACTTTCTTTTGGAATAGGACGCTTTATTAAGATCAAAGTAATTTAACATACACTACATATAATATGTAACTTTAATGTAATAGTGTATTGTATTAAGGGCTTGTATGTAAACAATTTAGCTAATTATTATAAATAAGATCCCAGTGCTCTTTGATGGATAAACCATTATTCTCGACATTATTATTTCACATGGTATCAGCAGCCTAGGTTTTCTACCCTCGCACCTATGTCAATCAATTCTACTCTCTCTGCGGCGCCATCTTCTGCGCCAGCCACGACGGTTACAACATTGGCACCCAACACCTCCATGGTGCTGCCGACCTCATCTGCTATGTCATCATCACCACAGTCATTCTACGCCTCTCGGCTTACATTGTCGCCGCCTCCAACTTTTGGCTTGCACCAGTTGTTTGATATGCCAGAATCCTTCACGTGGACTCCGACTGCTGCCACACAGCCTGTTGTTCTCCAGGCTCCAAGCCAAGAGTTGGCGGCGACAATGTAAGCCAAGACTATGCCAGAATCCAAAACTAACCGGACTCCGACACCTATAAACTGTTTCCCAGTCAGTTTTTTCGGTTGTACCATGTCCGGTCAGCCAGGAATTCACATGTTGGACTCTTCTCCCCTGTTGTGGCAACCTGGCTTCACGGTAACATCAACTCCCCTCTCCACTTTGTCATCTCAATTAACTTTTGCTACATCCAATGTTACCAATATTGTTACCACCCGGTTGGCTGTGGTTGAGGATTATTTGTCAAGACGCGTGCAGTTTGAATCATTCTTAGTGTCTCATGGCCTTTTGGGAATTTTATATGGCTCAATTCCTGCACTCTCGCTCACTACATATGACAATATTCGCCGCCAAACTCCTAACCACAAATATCATCACTGGCTTAAAATTGATAAACTATACCTGAGGTCATGGTTATGTGTTACTCTCTCCCGTGATATATATTTTGGTAGAGGTTCATGACCTCATTTTTCCGCCTAAATTTGGGAGCGTTCGGAGACACGATTTATGTCCGCCTGTCTTGTTCGAGCCATGGAACTCAAAATGAATTTTATTCAATATCTAAGAAAAAAGAGACCCAGACCATGTATGAATATTTAGTAATCATGGTCTTCTTCAACAAACAATTTTGAGCTCAAGGACCTGATTATGAATCTCTTCTCACGACGTTAACCCTCTTCCCGGCTAAGTTTATTATTGACAGTCTTCGTCCTCTTTTATTAGCATGGGAACAACGTGCTATTCATCTCCGGTCTCAAGAGTCTGGCCCAAGACATCATGTGTTCTGAAAGGTTATATTTTTATTTGATATTCACAGTGACCTTCACAATTAGAATATAAAGATTGATCTGCACTGTTAAGCACATCTTGAAATCTCATGCCTAATGTATCAACATCATAACCATATGATTTCGGTCTCTCATCCGCATTATTTTGTCCCACAAACTCATTATTTAGATGAGTATTGTGAAAAGTAGAAGGACCGATCAAATCATTATAAACCATTCTTTGATCCCAAGGCATTTCTTCATAATTGCTCCAAGTGGACATCTTATCTGGAACATAACGAGATGTTCTTACAGTTTGCGGCAAAAAATAGGACTCTAACGGCTCTCCTTGGGAAATCCAATCGTAATAATTGTCTATAAAACCACTTGTATATAAATGCCAACATCATCATTTTCTAAAAAAATCTATTTTTACACTTCATACATGGGCACACTATTTTACTTCCATCGATGTATTGAGGTTGTCCTCGTGCAAATTTAACAAATTCATCAACTCCTTTACTGAACTCTTCTCTCAATCATCTACTTTTATCAATTATACACCCAACTTCTATTTTCTCTATGCATTATGCTTGAATATTAGAAAAACATATATAAATATTTTTTTATTAATATTGCGATTAAATACTACCTTCATCTCTAATTGGTTTGCAAAATTGACTTTTCTTTGTCTAACAGTTTCATTTTATTCACTTAATTAGGATGCCAATTTTTTAAGTATATTTTAATTTGGAGTTTGCAAGTTTAAAGAGATTTTAATTTAGTTTCCGAATATATATGTAAATTTTAATTATTAAAAATTGAATTAATTACCAATAGGGATGATTTAACTTTAACATTGGTTGAGAAATTGTTGACTTTGCTAATCAATTTGGGACGGAGGGAGTAGATTAGTACAATTTTAAACACACTGCTAACATACAATCAGTATAACATAATGGAAATAATAGGGGGTGTTTGGATCTGATTCTCAAAACTGATTCTGCTCCTTCATGGAGCAGATGCTGAAGCTGGAGTGTTTGGGTAAAATTCCATAATCACTTCTGGAGCTCTAATTTACTCTCAGAATCAGTTTTTTTAGAAGCTGGGGGGTACCAGCTTCTGAAAACTGATTCTGATTCTGATTCTGCTTTTAAAGAAGCAAAAGCAGAATCAGTTCCAAACACCCCATAATCACAATTGAAAATATGAATAATCAATTGCTTTGAAAGGCACTAAAAAAGATTTACTTACATTATACGTTGATAATAAATTTTCTAAGAAATTCGATCATAATTGCTCCATATAACTTCCGTTGAACAATTCATCATTTAATCAGAAGCTAGATGTAAACCATATGTGAGTTAACTAGTTAACTCAAGGAAGAGAATAGTTGTTTTTGTTTATACGTAGTACTCCCTCTGTCCCTAAACTTACTTCCATTTCGCTTTTCGAGAGTCAACTTAAATCACTCTTAAACTCTTACTTTTTGTATCAAAACTTCATGAAAATTGATTTTTTTTTGCAGGCTTTGTAGCGGGTTTAATGTAGTTTCTAAATATATAAATTTTATTTACTAAAAATAATCCGAGTTTTCACATGGATCATTTAATTTTATCGTCAGTCAACCTTCGTAATCCGCAATTGGAACAACATTCAGGGACGGAGGGAGTAGTTTTTTTAGGAGGGAAATTGGCAAGGAATATAAACAGTAATGAAAAGTTGTTGGCATTGTACTTTATTGGTGCAGACAATTGATTTAGCCAACGGTTACCTTTTGGCAAGGCATTTGGCTCAGACCGAGTCTGAGGTCTGGAGTAATTAGAGCTGAAACTCCCTCCATTGAATTGACTATGGATCGTTTCTGGCACATGCAATGGTATACCAACGAACAATATTGGCTTGATTTTTTGGTTCGGATTTATTTGGAGGCTTGGAGCGTAATAAAACCGACCCAACATGTACTTCACACTCAGTGGCGGATCTTGCAATTAAATGTTGGGTGTTCGAAATTACTTTACCATTAAGATGTCATCTAATAGTCACTACTAGAAAAATGGCTTACAGTGACACCAAATTAATGTCACTGAAAGTTTCTGTGACACTAAAAAAATGTCAATGAAAGTGGATTCTAGTGACACTTAAAAAGTGTCACTAAAAGTGTCACTAAATTATGACACTATATTATCACCTGACGTGGTAAAATCACTTAGGCTGATACAAAAGTATCATAAATGCCTAATATAATTGATAGTGTCACTAAAATAGTGTCACTGTAAGCAGTTTTTCTACTAGTGAGTACAATATATAAATTATTACATCAATTCTATACATGTATTTTTACACTTAATTTTCAAAATTTTGGGTGTTCACATGAACACCCCTTAATAAAGAAGGTCTGTCACTGTTCACACTCAATTCTTTGGCAGGGAAATAGTGTTGGAAGGCCATGCATCCACGAGTGCCTATACCGTACACCCGGCTGTACGGTGCAAGCCATACAGCCGACGGCAATTTTGTAAATTTAGTGAAGATCACGGTTTTTGCTAGATGAGCATTAGTGTAATATTAATGAGCAGTGGTCTACTTTTAATGAGTACTAATAGTCTAATAATGAGCACTGTGTCATTACACGAAAGCTGATATCACAAATAAAAAACGGTGGCATTTTTGTAATTTCATTGAAAATCCTGATTTTCATTAGATGAGCATTAATACACTTTTAATGAGCATTGGACGTATTCTACTGAGTATTAAGAGTCGAACAATGAATATTGTGATATCAAGTTCATATATTGTAATTCTTTTTCTTTTCTTTTTTTTTTTCTCTTATAAAAACTCATTAAATTGTATCTATAATAAACTCCTATGAACTTCACTATGTGAATATAATGTAATATGGTACTTTTGAAATATGCATTGAGAGAACATTTTAAAATGAGCATATTATGAGTACCGTCTGAGCATGCGTAACTTACAAAAAGAGCATTAATATGAAAATGATAATTTTTTTAGTTGAGTATCAAGACATTTTCATTGAGTATCAAACCCCCTTTATTGAGTCTAATATTAAAACAATATCAAATGAGCATACTCAACTTACGAATGAGTATAAAAAAAATCAAAAGGCTCATTCAAAATCCCTTTTGTGCTCAAATATTAAATGAGCATACATAGCTTACGAAATGAGCAGTTAAAAATTTTAAATTAGCATTACACCAAAATACATGGATATCACATTTTGAAATGGGCATTACACAAATCTAAATGAGCATACATAACTTATGTTAAACCCAAATGAGTTTTATCTCTATTGCATATTTGCAAACATTAAAAAACTCGTTTGTGTATGTCCATTCTTTTTACATGTTATACTCATTTGGGTTTAACATAAAATTCATTTTTATAATGTATAGATACAATAGATACTTCGTATATAATAAAAAAATGTCATTAGGTTAGATTGATTTCAGATATGTTTGCCGCAGAAATGATTTGTGGATGCTTTTCACTTGGGTGGGTTGAATCATTTGCTGCAAAGATATTTAATCCTACGAAGGTTAATGGATTCATGATCGATGGCACCGCTTAACGAAGAACATGATATATTGACGAAGAATGAGAAAGTCAGATATATTCTTTGCCACTACCATTGTTCTAAAAATTGCTCTAGGCGCCCGACTAGTCCCTGCCTAGGCGGTGGTCGGGCGCCCCAATTTTTGTCTAGGCACTCCGACTAATTGGTTTAGCGCCTAGGTGAATTAATCAGCCGCCTGGACCGCCTAGTTGCCCGCCTAGAGCGCTTAATCACCGCCTAGGACATCTAGATTCACTGAACAATTTTTAATTTTCCCCTTTTAAGAGATATATGTACCTTTAACTTTAATCAAGAATATGAAGAATGATACTTGTAAAATAAGATAAATAAAACTATATATGTTTGAATATATACTTAATTTTTATTATTATTTAATACTTAACAAATAATGTAATTAAGTTATTGCATGTGACAATTTTGTCATTCATGCATGTTAATGTGTGTGTCATGCATGTTAATGTGTGTGTATATTTTTCATACACACAAACATAGTACTGCCCTTTTACTATGTATTACTTATCATATTCATGCAAAAATACATATAAAAATACTCCCTCTGTCCTGCTATGATTGTCCCATTTTACCATTTCCGTTCATCCTACTAAGATTGTCACATACCTTATTTGGTAAAGTTTGTGTGGTTCTAAATCATTCCTACTTTATTTTTACTTTATCAATTCAATATCAACCACATAAACTCACTTTTATTAATAACCGTGTCACCTTCTCTTGTCCCAAACTTAGGGGGACGGAGGTAGTACAATTTATGTGTTTCCGACTAGTCCCCATCTAGGCTCCCGCCTAGGCGCTAGGCGCTGGGCTGGCGCCCGACTAGCGCTTAGCGCCTTTTAGAACATTGGCCACTACCCTAGGGGATAGTGATTTTCATGGCAGCAGCAGAATTGACGAAGAACGAGAAAACCAGAGTTGAGCCAACAACTCGTCCATCTCCATGGCTCCTGAAGTCGGTGCGGTGCAGTCCGTTCATCGCAACCTCGATCGCAACTCAGCCGATTGATGTATTAGTTCACAGTCTTAATATTCCAGTATATTACAAAAATACCCGGCTATACCATGCTCAAGGTACAGCCGGCTGTAGGATATATTTTACCTGCATCTACCCATCCAAAATTTTGTACGGTGCTTATTCTCAAGAAAAAAAATTGTAGATGTCTGGGATTTTGGCTCGGATGAGGGAGACGCAATTGGTTGGCTCAGAATTTCCGTGCCAAAATCATTTCGCAGCCAAGTTCAGCTTTATTTCGCGCCTAACTCTAAGCCAATGTTTGGAAATATTTTCGAGCCAATTTCCCTGCCTAAACGAAGTTGTTTTTGTAGTGTATTTGGTAATGAATAATCAAAATTAAGATCATACACAGTATTAAATACTACTACCTTCATCCCAAAATACATAGTCAAATCTTAAAATTTGGACCATGATTTTGATTGGTATAATATTATGAAAGTTATAAATTTTATACTTTTATGAAAGTACTTTTAAGAAAGAACATTTTCATATCATTTTTATATTATAAATAATTTCCAATGAATATATATAAATCGTCAAAGTTTTGAATTTAGTTAAGTATTTTGCGACGAAGGTAGTATTACTATTATTATAAGTGAAAGTACACAGAGTATAAAATTAGAATATATTTTTCTAAATATCCATCTATTTAGAATATTTAAAATTAGAATAAAAATTTTAAATACATTTTATTTTTTATCAAGAATTGTATAGTTTTAGTTTCTATGTTGATTGCATTTTCGGGCATTGATCAAGTTGACCTGCCGAGTGCGGGTTGACCTTTGACCCGGTCATTCGGTTAGGTCGCGCCTGGTCTGGTTATAACATGGCGATAAAGTAGACGTTAAAACATTCAAATGAGAGTGCGTGCCTTTTTTTCAAAAGTATAAAAATGCGGAGTAATTGACTACTAAAGCTTCAACAAAAAATTGCCAGCTTTTACAAATATGAAAGTTCTTAGGTGAAAATTGAAATCTATTCCTAATCTTTGGTCTATAGTTGATAGCTTTTGGTATAATAACAACATTCAAGCATTAGTCTCAAAAGAATTTGATATCAGTTAACATGAATCGATAAGATAAGGTTA